TTTTCGTACGAATTAAATTTAATACTCGAATTCATTATGCAAATAAAAATGAACAACGAATAATATAATTATAATGGATCTATTAGAATGATTAACTTATAGGGTCGTTCGATCAGTCCGTTGTATTTACAAAATATACGTTATACCGTTAGTTGAGTTATATATTTATAAATATATGGGTAGTACATAATGAAATTTCGAGAAAAAATCAATACAAATATATAAATTAAACGTAGTTATATTTCCAAATACAACGCGTACGTATATCTGCTATTTTTTATAATTTTATTCCCGTGTATAATATTGTTAAGTGGAATATAAAACCTAAAAATGTATTATACGAATTTGAAATTAGTTATGTGATAAAACAGTAATGTTTATTGTTTCTTTTAACTTGATAATGATGCCGAAGAAACAAAAAGCTTTGTTGGAATTCGTTGACCAGAATACTGATTAAAAATTATTTATGAAAAAAAAAAGTAAAAAAAAAAATAAAAATAAACGTATTATTATAATTTATTTTTCAAAATACATGAAAAATCTACTTAAAATTAAATGCATACAATCAAACGGTTGGTATTATATTTTTTTTTATACTACTGATTTTCACCCGATTTAGCTTGACTTTCATGTCTATGCGACGTGATTGTTAACATCAAATATGGCTCGATGGTACATTATGGTTATTAGTCTTCAATACGGTGCATTGTATTTATAACGTAATTTAATTTACTCAAACAATAAAGCCGGAAATCAACGATGGGATAATACATATAATATGGAATTTGGATTTTTGATCATATCATGATACCGACAAACTTAAAACGCTTATAATAAACTAAACAAGTTGGTACCTATAACAAAAAAAATAGGCTTGTAGTATTGTTTACTCATTGGCAACGTTATAAAACGTGGGAGTCAATACGTGGGTTCGATAAGAACTAATGAAAGATGAGCATTTATAAAATAATCTTTAATTTTTGACCGAACATAGTGAATACATGAAAAACAATATGTTCCCAAAGTCCTTTAATCCATTTTTTCTTCGGGAGCACGCAAAACGAACATTTTATAACGTCAAATTACATATATTTTGCATAATACATCACTAGCAAATACATTTGCATTCGTTATGCCATTCGCATTGCGCAGTTCAATGAAAATATGAAGAAAACAACACACGATTAAAAAAAAAAAAAAAAAAAAAACCTTCCACTAATTTGTACAAGAGCGTGTACTGCCATGTTTTCGCGTCGTGTTCGTAAATTATTCATTAGCGCCGATAACCAACGACGGTGTTGGATCGCTGCGCGGTTCTGCGTACCGTCTGGTGTTTTTCCATTTTTTGAAATCTCGTTCAGCCCCGTGAACAGATCTGCACGGAACCGGAATATCGGCCGTTCGTACCTGGAATGAACGTCGACTACGGACACTAACGATCAACCGAGGACACAGTAACAGCCACACACGGTGCCATTGGAAAGTTAACCTCGAGGTCGGGTCTCGACGACAACGGAGCTCCTCTGACCGTGCAAGTAGGTCAAACCGTCCGCGTAAGCCGGAACTGGCCGTGATCACGTGCGCGACTAGCGCAATGAAAGTTTGCCTCATCTCGTTCGCGTCCGCCTCGCGTTGCCAACACTCATTCGACGGCGTGTTGCAACACCGAAAACTTGTAGAAAACGGTACGTCATAAAATATCGCACCGGGTAGACGTAAGAAGACGTGAAAACCTTTTCGCACCGAGTCGCTAAACATCGAACAATGGCGCGGTGTGATTTATCGTCGTCGCGAAATGGATAAGAAAAAAAAAATAAAAATAAGAAAAAATAGATAAAATGTGTATTCATCCGGCGCGGTCGGGTGCATGTCGATTCCGACGGACGATTTACTTTGTTCGAATGGTTTTCCAAGGAGCAAAAAAATAAACGTGGAAAAAAAAAAAGTGGAGCACTAGAATTTTCACTCGAACTCGAGATGCCCGTTATCGAAAAAATGAAATTGTTTAACACCGGGGAATGTGTATGTGTTAATTTGAATAATAACAAAAACGTGTCTCAGCACGATGACGATGGACTTATAGCCGATGGCACTACGGTTAGTAATTCTGCGTTGAAATCTTGGAATTAAAAACAAAATTAACCCCCGGCGAGAGGTGCATGTCGTATGGGTGTCACCGGTTACTGATACTCATTTAGTACTTTCTGTGCGTCCATTATATTATATTTAACTTATGTTTCATGCCGCATAGTTGTATTAATGATAAATTTTTGTTCAACAATATTTCTCCGGTGAGCGGCTGTCGCGGTGACGACAACAATGCTTTATTTTTTATGTGTTATTTCGTACTGAAAAGGACCAAACGGTTTCAAAAGAAACGAATGCGCTCAGTGGCACACGGATTGTATACCAAAGTTCAATGGTGTCATTTAAAAAACATTCGGCTTACCGCGAAAAACTCCGTCAACGTATTATTTCACGTGAACAAAAACGAAAACCCCTGACATTTGCTTTCGCCGAATTCGTGGTTTTTGTTGGCAAATAAATAATGGTGAGTTATTTGGAATCATTATTTATTAAAATAAAATCTACCAACCATACGTACGCACAGTAAAATAGAAATCATTTTATTTACTTAAATTTTTTAAAAATAGATTTAACTGTATCAAATATAATTTTATTTTTTAAAAATGTTTTGAAAGGAAACATTTTTTTTATTAACACGTTTAATTAATATCGATTAATATCGATAATATATTTTTTTTTTTACTTACTTATTATTTTTATTTTCAGAACGTCTTTTCTGTTCGAAGATTTTCAAATATTAACAATTATTTTAAAATGAAGAGTTCAAAAGTTTATCATGTTCAAATTTAATTTAATTACAATTGTATTGAATATTTTACACAAAAACCGTCCAAGAAGTAGGTTGCTTGAGTTTTGTTTTTTGTCAACAGAAAATAGTAAATAATAATAGTATAAATAATAATAATAATAATAATAGAAGATAATTACCAAAAATTACCTTAAAATTAGTTAAAGCCTGATAATTGCTCGAAATTGCTTGAAAATTAAGTACAATAACTATATGTATTTTATTAAAAGCAATTTTTTTCATACTCGTTATTTCTCTTTCTCCCCCTCTATATATATACAATAATTAAGATAAACCAATTTTTGTCAGTTTCATTTTTAGTATAATTTCTGCTCTAGCTACAATCAACATATTTTTCTAAATTATACAATATAAGAGTACACAGAAGTAGATTTAAGGTATTGTGAACTATGCGGTTGCAAAGGCTGGTACATTTTGTGAAGGCAGCAAAATTGTCACGAATGTTTGTTTTGTTCATACTTATGTAGTAAAAATACTGAATTTTTAATTTTATTTTACAGTTTCAATATTTTGAAAAAATGTACTTGGCTTTTATTTACATCTAAATATATGAATAACGTTGAAACCTCCAGTTAAACCATTTGTGAACACAAAACGTTATGATTATTGCAATTTAAAGTTTAAATCATTTGATTCAAAATTATTAATTTTATATCAAACTCAAGAAAATTTAGAATTGAGTGTATACATGCTCCTATTCCTTGTCTTCTTAGACGGAAATCACAGTATTTATGTTTTCTACATAATATTTTATTTCGTGCTACTACTACGTGTCCTTAAGTCGTTATAATACCTAGTCGATTTCGTACCTAATCACAATAACATTATTCAGAACATTTACCACCGACAAATGGAAACAAACGACAAGAAAATATGGTAGATATAATTTAACGTTTTTGGAAAACGATTACTCATTATGTGATTCCTATGGTCGATAATTAAAACGAATGAAACGTTTTCACTTAATTAAAAAACACTCGCCAAACAAGTAAACGGTGTATTTGGAAAAATTGTACAATAGGTCTGTCCGACTCGCAATATTTTTTCAGCGATGTTATTTATAGAGAGAATATGTTTACAAAGCATTCCAAATGATAAATAAACAATACAATTAATTCAAAAAAACTTGTTTTTTTTTTTTTTTATTGAAAACTTTTGTTTCATTATTGTAATTAAAAAATTACACTACACCTAATTCGTAAATGCATTATTTATTTACCAAAATCTGGACAATAGATGTAATTACGCAAAACGTCATGTTGATTTAAACAGAAGCTCACGCCCTACACTGAACAAAAATCGGGTTGGGTCCATTGCCATTTTCCCCCAAAAGCATCTTATGTCATTTTCCATCCGAAAAATACGAGATACAATTCCTATTTTTTTCTAAATTATACATTATTTGTTCACACTTTGCATTATATTACAGTAGTTAAACAGAAAATAACTAATTAACAAAAACAGCAAAACAATAACATAAAATGTTATATTGAATGATATTAAAAGAAAACGTACTATACCATATATCAGAATAAACACTATAATTATATAGTACAATCTCCAATATTATTGAGTTGGTTATATTTTTGTAGAACATAAATCAGTACATATACACACTAGGAAACTTGAACTTTACCACTGTTCATTGGCTCACTAATACATTTATTCAATAATATCTACAGAATAGCAGTGTGTGGTTATGAGCCATCGATATTAAAAAATTGCAAAGTGGTGATAAATCAACAACTGCATATATCTGAAATCAGTCGTTGGCGGGTTTTCAGATGCAATGCCGCAAAAAAAAAAAAATATATATTTCATTTAGAGGAGATAACAATGGAAAAATCCGGACTCATTTAGGTGTATCATCGGATTCGATTCGGCCGTATCGGTCGTTCCATTTAGGGCGGAACTGCACAAATCCCTCGTTCCTCATATTTTTCAGATGATGTAATGGCACGCGGAGCAAAACCATTTGATTAAAGATAACCGTTACGTTTTATCACGGGAACATCGATAAAATTGTTTTACAACAATAATATTAATGTCATAGTAAAAGATCGATTTATATATTAATATACTGATATATTTTGTTTACGCTTACCCATTGACGTCCGTTTGCCCGAAGGCCGATGCAACAAATGCCAAACACCACAGTAGCACGGCGCGCATGTTCGGTTTCATTCTGTAACAGAAATAATCGTATTGTAAATACGGAATATTGAAATTTGCGAAAACGGCTTATTTTAGAAAAATATTGCGCAATTCGCCCCCGCAGAATGAACGCGCCTTGAGACATAATAATCATATGTGTCATACACTCATCGCGCATGCACACAGATGTCTCATTTCATTTCATTGGTTAAACTATAACCGCGAGACAAGGCGCGTTGAAGGCTATGTACGTATTTATTAATTCTCTACACGTCGCGTAGTAAACTTAATGATACATGTATAATCATAAGTTATAATTCATAACCCATTTTGACGCGGAATATGGAAAACCTTTACGGGATGGCAGCAACAGTGTTCTAAAACTCCACTCGCGTTCTATCCGTCCAACTGTGTACACAGTATAAAATATATTGACATTTATTATTTTATAGTTAATTATTTATTACTAATTATTCTTATTTTTTGTTTTTTGTTTTCGTGTGAGTCAGTGTACCGGATTCATGGTCTAGTTGAGTAGAAAATTGATAAACGGAAAAAGAATATAATGCCGTAACCCAAACGAGACGGGCGGGTGGAATGGAAACGTCAAATTATCACTTTCGCGATTTGTTTTAGGGTGAAACAAAAGCTAAGCAAAAAAAAATATATATATATATATAATAATAATAATAATAATAATAAAATGAAAATCGAAAATTGTATACATTTAGATCTGACGGACTCGAGATATCCGATTTCAAGTAGGGTATTTATTTTCTCTCATTATTTCAAGAACAGATATCAAAATATTTTCTTACTAAGACAATATTTAAGCGGAATAGTAACCCGATATACTGTAGGCAAGTAGTTTGCCGAAAACTATTGGAATTAGATCCAACAAATATTGGAGGTATAAATTATTAATAAAATAATAAAAAATTAAATTAAAATTAAAAATTATTAAATGGTTAATAGTCGTAAATAATATATAAATTTTTATTATTCCAGCCGAATAAATAAATAAGATGCACTATTATCAGATATTGAGCAACTTAGACATATTAAATTGTATTATATTATTATGTCTGTTATTCGCATTTAAACATGTAAGGTGTTACACATCGAACATGCATAATATTATACGTACATAAAATATTATTTTCATCAACAAGTATTCAATAAATTCTTGCATTTAGTAATAAATAATAGTTATCACTATTTTATCGGCGAGAACAATTGAAAAAATGATGTCACGCTTGACAAAAAAAAAAACCATCAAACTGTACGGTTTTACAGTTATGTGTACAGGTATAGCAGGATTATTACATGTGTAATTATCATTAAATAATGCTAACTTAATTAATTTTTTACCTTTCAATGGGAATATTTAACTAACAAACATCTAATGAAATATTATTTAAACGTCATTTGTGGTTTTTAAATATTTTACAAATCATTATAACATTACCTTCATATTCAGTACAGCATTTACACTGACTAATATACCAATAAGATAAATAAAATAAAACTTATCCGTTTAAACCAAATCCATATGAGATATACATTTACATTTAAATAACTCGAGAAAATATGTAAGCGTAAATTTCATAAAAAAATAACTATAGCTGTTGAAAAGTCAAAATAGGTATTTTCAATTTAGTGAACCAAGTTTGAGAATTTTATAAATAAAATCAATTATTTTCTTTTGGAAAAAAATTATCGAAAAATGTCAGGCTTGGTTTCATAGCCCCTAAATCGTTGATTCGTGCATATTATTACGGCAAATTAAAGTTGATTTTGAACTTCGATATTTTAAAGCGATTTTGGACGAAAAGTGATCAAAGTTTAAGTAATATACAATTGCCATTTTGCCGTTATCATTTATCGTACAACTAGCACGTATTGCGGAACGAGACGTATTTAACGTGTAACTTTTTTTTTACGTATTATCACGAGAATAAAATGGAATAAAAATCGCGATTTTATCTTTCCCGACCCTAAATTGATCAAGTATGACTGGAATAGTTCGACAGAATATATAACTACAATTTATATACACTTTTTGTTGTACAGAAAGGTTTGGAAATCAAACCCCTAATGGCATACGCAGCGGAACAACGATGAAAAAATAAAATAAAAATAATAATAATGAAAATTGAATAACGATAAAACTAAGTAAAAAAAAAAAAGTGGTACACGTACACCAGTCGCACAGTATTGTTAGCGGTGTAATTCAACTTCTCGATTGCAGCAACACAGTACCCTGGGTGGTTTATAGAACAACACTCCGCTCAACAAACGGTATTTTGTCATGATGAAGTATATATATATATATATAGATCTATATAGATCAATAACGAGCATATTTCACCTCAAGTATTATTGCCTGCCGGATTAACTATTTACAATTATGGTAAAACAACAATTGTCCCTCCCTGTAGCAGGTAGAAATTAGATAATTGTCGGAGAAAACATCCGGTTTAGTCATATTTCGTGTGTGCAAAAATACAGATCGATACAAATAATATTAAACGGCGACGAACCATGAAAATTTATACTGAAGTATTCATGACCGCAGTGCAGTGTATTACGCATACAGGTTTAACAAACTTCAAAAAGGTTGTCTCGCTACGTGGTCAATAATTTATAATCTTATCTACGATTCTAGTGTCGTTTTCACTCGGATACCAATGCAAGACGTAACGTTTCGTTTGTGTCACAACGCTTTATAGTTATAAGAACGCGATGGAAATGGTTTTTTTTTATGCGATACTATGTGCGATAATAATAAACGTACAGGGAGCGAAAACAATTCGGCAAACCGCAAATTGAGATTGGATGTTCGAATGTTTTCCGGACCATTGGTAACGGGGGCGTGCAAGAAGTGCGACACAAATCAATACTTTTAACCGTGTGTCGGTCATTATTATGAATGATTTAATATTATTCGAATATATCTAAAGAAAACCGATAAACCGCTGTTTTAGAACAACGACTTAGAACGTAGCCAATGCGGTCTATGGTTAAACTGCACACTCGTAAAAAATAACTGCAACTGAAGATATTTGATGCACTACAGATAAATTAACAATCGCTTTTTGTTCAATTTTCAAGAACCGGTGGTGAGAACTATAAATTCCTTAGAAAATAAAAGAAATCTACAAATAGTGTTGATAAAAATTTTCAAATTTTAAAAACTTATCGTTCAAATTTTAAAATTGTAACAACGGAATTACTTATTCATTCTATCATAGAAGATAAATGAATTAAAAAATGATAATTTTTGCTAAGTTTTCCGATACGATTAGAATTGTAAACTTAATAAAAATAAAACTATAATAATTATGCTGTACATTTTTTTGCATATTATTTTTATATCTTGTAAAAAAATCATAATATGAAAAAAAATATAAGAAAATATAAAATATGAAAAAAATAAAAAAGTGAACAACAAGGTATAGAACGATTGAAATATTAAATTTTATCTGTTAAAGGCACTTGTTATTGAAGATTTATTTGCATAGTATGCCATAGTGTATACTTTAATGCAGGAATTGTCGAGCAATTCAAACACTCTCATAATATGTGAATATATTTATAAGATTTCGACAGTTTCATGGAACAAACCGAGACGAAGGCGTTCAATTCGTGGGAATGGTTCAATAAAAGTTTTCCGTAGAATTTAAAATTCATTATTATACAAGATATATAAATAAGTAAATAAAAGATAAATTTATATTTAATAAACAACATGATGAGTTTCATTTGATTTTAACTGTCGTCAGATTATTGAAATAGTGTTTTTATTTTTTGTTCCGGCTTTACGTATCATCGAGGAACTAACACAAAAACTATCTCCTTCAATTTCTCTCTAGTATATGCTATATTTTATATTATTATTATTATTATAATATATTATTTTCATATATTTATACTTATCTGTTTCAACTTCTTGTGTTACCTCATTCCATGTATCATTTAAGCTGCCTATCCATCTTCTTCAAGGTCTACCCTACCAAGATTGTTACTTCTATTTTAATTACAATAAACGTTGTCGAACATCAGATTTATTCAATTGCATACTACTTGGAGCAGAGACAGCAAGGAAATTAATTAATTGTATTATAATTTTTTTATAACTAACGTTTAAATATATAAATATAAATATATATCATAGTTCGTTTTAAAATATTGTCTTTAATGTTTATTTATAAATGAGAAATTCTAATTTTTAATTCTTAGACTCGTTATAAATCTCAATGTTTTGTCGGAAATTGAATGAACGAATAGCCGTAGTTTCTACTTTTGTTTTCCCACGTAGAAACATGTAACGGAGCGAACTTTAAATGTGTTTTTATCGATTTAATATAAAGAGAGAAATCAATTAACGGTTCATTGGGAGTTAGAAACTTATAAAAATCATTCATTCATTATAAGTACATTTCACTGCAGCGCACTTTTTTTCGTTATACGGTGATAAAACAAATATTCTGTTGACGTTTAATCAATCCAAACGACATGATTGTAATTACTATTTGCTGGGCACATAATTACTCAATCTAAAACCTTAACATCCAAAAACAGTAATTAATTTTTTAATACATATTCATACCGGCATTGTTCGCACTATTCACATCATTCACTGGGTTCTTTAAAAAAAAAAAAAATATATACCTTAAATTAAAATGTCGTTATATCACGTTTAAATAGTAGGTGTACTGAACATCAATAATGCGCAACCGACGAACGAAATCAAATGGAATCATCTATTATGGTTTTAATAATAATAACTGCCTACATTTTCATGTTTGGATACTTTCGAACGATTAGACTTTTTTCGATCAAATTTTATATGTATGTAATAATAATAAAGAGTGCACATACCTATTCGTTCAATTCGCAACGGAAAATTATTAGCGACAAACGCTTACATATTTATATATCCCGAATATACACTTAATATTTGAAACGTATTTATTTTTATCAGAGCTCGTGGTCACGCCGGTTTAAGGTTACAAGGTTTTTAACTCG